TTGAGATTCAGTCTTAACACATATAGAGTTACTAAAGTTAACAATACTTACAACCAATACTCATGATCCCCACATTGAAGTATTTTAAAACTTAACAGAAACAAAGAATTGGGATTGTTATATTAGCTGTTAAGGATGGACAAAACTGATATCACTCTGCAAGAAGACATAATATTATTCTTCAGAGTGTCAGCAAGGTAGAGCTGGAGGAAATGGGCTCAATAGTGATGAGATTCAGATAAAAACAGTGTGGTTAGTCCCCTGCTAAGTTTTGTGATTTTAAGAAATGACCAAATCCTTTTAAGCATCTGTTTTTTAATCTATTAAATGTAAATAGCAGTTATTAGTTTTAACAAATATATGTGATTTGACATAATGTTCAAAGCTAAATAGACCCCGTTAAGTTCATTCTTATCCCTTGTCTTTAATCACTGTCTTCTTTTCAGGTGTTTACTGCTAATGCTTTTTCAGATATTTTGCAGTCAAATATCAGTGTAATAAAATCTTATAAGATAGCTGTTGTTATTTCACATCATGGCAAGGTCACAAGGTGACCTAAAGAAGAGCATGCTCAATTGTCCAAAAGAACAGAATTAAGGTGATAGCTTATGGCCTTCAGAAAGCAGTGTGCCACCTTCTTTTGTTGTTTTCCTTCTTAATCTGCCCAAATTTCCTTCTTTATCTAAAACCTTAATGCTACCCTTCATTTCCTTGTCTCTCTCTGTAGTTATCTCTTCATAGCACTTCCCACTGTTGATGTTACAGATTACACTATTATTGTTTTAAATAGTGTATAAACTCAAGAGGAAGAATTTTTTACTTTAGATTTTCTGAATAAAAATTATTTTTTATAGCTTTCAAAATAATGGCTATGCTTTTTTAGTAATAAAATAGTACATCTTCCATTTATTGGAGTCAAAATAAAATATATTTTAAGAGGGTGTATGTATGTGTTTTAACAAATAATGTTATACTTATGCTGTAATGTACAAAATAAACAGCTAAAAATTACACTTCCTGGAACTCTGTGATTTTAAAAAAACAGCACATTTTACATGCATGGAGATTTTTATTCTGGAAAGGTATTGAACATGACAACCTGACAGTCTGTCCTTGGGATGCTGTCATTGCTAGTCTCAGATCAGCTGACAGGACCTCAGCTGGCCCTCTTCAAGTTGCTTAAAAACACTTCTAGAACTGTTCTAATAGGCATGCTCCAACTGTCGCTTAGGAAAAATAAAAACTGATCACTTGAGATCAGTCTGTACAGCAGGTCTCTTGGCAGACAACCAGTCACATCATTATCTAAGAGATCTTTGTGGGAAAAGATCTTATCAATTCCTTGGCCATGAAGTGACTGTTGGAATCTTCCTATTCTGAAACTATTCCATCACCATGCGAGGGAACGGCAGCTTTTGCAAGGTTAAGCATGGTCTTGTAATGACACAGATCATCTTATATCTGCTAGTTAGGAAATGAAGATGGTTCTGCAGTGATACTGCAAAGCTTTGAGTCTTTTATGCTCATATGAGAAGAAGTTGTGTGCCATTTATTAAACCAAAATTTTCTGATAGAAATATTAATATGATCATCTCTAAGGGGATAACATAATCCTAATCCTACCCAGAACTAGCACTGAAATATAGAATTAGGTTATTCAGATTGTAGAATATAGAGAACATGGAGAGTCTACAACTCTAGGGGGAAAATATATACTTGTATATTTTCCTTACAAAAAGTAATTTATGCTTTATTAATTTAGTATTTTAAATTAAAATTTAGGTTTTAAACATATGTGTATGTATATATGTGTATATGTGTGTGTGAGTTTATGCATAAATGTAGTGGTTTTGGGTATTAAACTCATCTACATTTAAGGTAGGAAAATGTTCTACCACAAAGTATGTTTTGAAGGAACAATATTGCATTGGTAAACATTACTTGATTTAAATTCTAAAGAAAAACCAAAAGATAAACCTCAAAATGAGAAAAATAGAAAAGTTTCCATGATCATTTTACTAAAATGGCAAAACTAATTCTTGTGAAAAATCAAAAGAACATACATTATGATGATAAATTATGCTTTGATCAAGGTATAACAGCATACATCTTAATTCATTTATGTATCTACAAAGTGGCTTATTTAATCACAAAGTTCTTAACTCAGTCTGTCTATATTGTATTTAATTTGCTTTTAATAATATGTTAAGCACAATTTTTATGTTCTTTATAAAGAGCATACATATTCTGTGTCAGATGTGTATAGTATAGACATTTCAAAGTTGCTTCTTCCTATGTGCTTTTAGTAGAAATGCTGAGATCTAATTTTCCTCCACTTCTTCACATGCTGTAACTTGCTGTGGAATGCAAACTTGTAATCTCTTATTCTTATGCAAGAACTGAAGGCTTTAGGAAGAAAACTTTGAATACACAATACTATAAATTCTCTTGAACAAACTTCACTTTTTAAAAATAGACTTTTTTGGTAGCATTTCAATAAATATTCCCTCAGTGTAAGAAAAGAGTAGTTTACAACGATAGTTTATAATTAACTTTTATTAAATACTAGTAACTTGAATTATCTCTTCTTTGTCCTTTAACTCTGAAAGATCTTATCTTCTACATTATGCTAATTTTGACTTAAATTGCCAGTCATTTGCATGTTGCATGTCACTTTAAAACTTGCAGATGTATTTATTTCTTAGAATCTTGATTTTAAAGAAAATGAAAAAGCCAAAACTTTTCTTTTTAGTTAACAATATTTGAGAACATAAAGTACCTAATAAATTTGAAGAATATTTATTACAGTTTAACTCTTTTTGCTAGTGTAAAGCATAATTATGTCAGACCACAATAGCATGTGTATAAATTTATGTAATTTGTACAATACAAATGCTGGAATATGGTCATGTGGTAGTATACAGAAAATGTAGACACAGCTCATATATTGTCTATTACTGATATTGTAAAGAATATATTTCTTTGTAATTTATTCTGTGACTTTATTTCTTTTCATTGTGGTTCAGTTACATTACTTGAAACAAAATAATTTTCTCAGCATTCTATCTTAATGATTCAAGATGAATGGAAAAGATAGAATAATAAAATACAGCAAACATGTCTAATAAAAAGCTTTATGTTCTTATAGTTTCTGTCTCCTCTAAGTACATCTCTCCCAAGTTATTTAAATCTCACATTTTTAAACTTTTTTAATCATCTTTTTTATATCTGGTATGACTTTTAAACTTACTGCATTCAACCTTTAACATTCTGCAAAAGAAACATAAATTAATCATTGTGTTTGTCCAACAAGGAAGATGTGTCTTATTGATACTGTGAACTTCTAAGGAGGCAGAGACAAGCTGTCCCTGAGATTACAACATAAGGAAACATTTCAAGAGATATTGTGTTGCTGCTTGTTCGGTTCCCACTCAGAATTCTAGGTCTTGATAGCAAGCATTCTAGGTCTTTTAGGGGTGGAATCTCTGCTTATTTAATGTTGATTTTGTTCTTTCACTGTCTGTAAAGATAGAGGTTACTATCTGTTAATAGCAAATCAAATTGGGCCATGGGTTATTGTGTAACTTTTGAAATCGTTTACAAAAAAGCTATTAATTGTCACCCAAAGTATATGTTATTAAATTTTGCAAATGGATATATATATA